GATGTGGATCAGCTGAAATTTACCGATATGTCCATGATTTTCAAGACAGTGGAGATCCCAGATGTACCAGATATGCCTCTGGATACCACCAGAGATGAGGTTAGAATTGAGGAGTCAGCTGATCCCGAGTCTGAGGTGGAGACGGATGAGGAGATGCTTGAGGTTGCTAAGGAAGCTTCGTATAAGGGCCTCAATGAGAATGCGGAGGCCATGGTAGATGCAGTTGTGCAGGCTTCTTTGGCGAATACACCCTTGGCTGATCCTAGTGCAGCTACTGTTCCTTCTGAGGTGACTCCGAGCACTGATATGCCCAAGTCCCGAGCACTACACCGGGCACTGATGCCTAGACAGATGGAGCGACTGTTTAGACAGGATCCTTGTTTAACTCCCTCTCTGTCTTACTTTATTTTGACTTTTGGATATTATTTTGATTGCATTTAAGGATAAATGATGTTTATTTGTCGTGGGGTGAGGCCTACCTTTTGTGACCTTTTGTGATTATGTTGTGTATATATTTGGGTTTTGAGATATAATTGTGTGTTACACTGCTTTTGTGGATGATTGAGCTTGTGGCTTCGTGTTCTTAACGGTAAATGATATTTGGACCCTTCCGAAAATATTGTGCCACCTCTTATTTGTGTTGACTATGGTTGTTCTCTTGCAAATTTGAGTATCGATTTTGATCAATATCGATGACTTGAATAGTGCTCATAATCGAACAAAAATGAATGCGCGGCTTCGATGAGGCCAAGTGAAGTTGCATAGACAATACGTGAACTTTTTGCATCTCGTTGTAACTAGCCATGTATCAAATTGTGTCTCTTGTGATGAACATTGTACACTAGCGAAAGTGTGGAGTTTTGTTTGACATTGGTGCCAATGCCTTGTGTGATGAGCTTATCGTGAACCATGTGTGATGACACCTAGAATTCACTATGTTGGTCCGGTTGACTAAGTGATGCAATCTCTTGATATGATCTTAGGCAACTTTGAAGAGTGTGAAACAATTTGACATTATACCACTTTTTATGCCCTACCTTGTGAGTGTGTGAACTCCACTTGAACACCCTTTAAACCTGAACCTCTTCTTGGAAGAAACTTGATGAAATTGATACCTTTCTTGATCCATTACCCATAATCCTCATGATTCGTGGTTTGTGTGAATAGTCAACTTAGGTCAAAAGCCTAAGTTGGGGGTGTGGTGAAAAGAGAAGGTAAATCAAGAAGTGGAAGAAAGTGCCCTTTGACCCATGGTTTGAGAAAAATGGAACCCCTCCATATATATATATGAAAAAAAAAGGAAAAAGAATGAAAAAGTTGTGGAATAAAGTTGTGAAAGTGCAAAGAAAATGGGGTATCCAACAATCCATGGAAGATGAATAATGGGGTGACTTGTGAGCACGAATGAAAATGATGAAGAAAAGGAAATTGAGCCTAAATGACCATACCCTTGCACTCAGCCCGTTACAAGCCTTTAAAAGACCTTTTTTATCTTGAGTGAGCTGAAACAATTGTTGATTGGAAAATAAGGGCAAACCTATGGGTGAAATCATGCACTGTGTTCATCCTTGTGAGTGTGAACGTTGCATTTGATTCTGGAGCTTTAAATTGTTGAACCATTGTGTGTGAATATGGAATCATTATTTGTGTGAGGTCATTTGAGTATCATTGTTGTGCTTGAACTTGCATTTGAAGCATGTATTGTGAACTTGAGAATCTTTGATAATGGTGAGTCACAACTTGAATCTTTGAGTGCACAATTGATCCTTGCATGAGTAAGTTGAGCCTTTTTGTGTGCATTCATGATTGAGTCTTGTGTAGCACTGTTTGAGACATCCTTTTTGAACTGTTGAACTTGAGTTTTACTTGAGGACAAGCAAAAGTTTAAGTTGGGGTGTTGATGAGTCCACGATTTGGACTCATTTAGGGCTTTATTTTAATAGATTTAGTGTCTTCAATTGCATATTTTGTGTCAATAACTGATGTAAATCCATGATTTTCAGGTATTTGGATTGAGGAACAAAACATGGACACTAATGAGTAAAAAGGAACGAGTCAGCGGAAAGAACGAAGAAAAGAAGGCATGAGGATTGTCTAAACCATTGGGCGAGTCACCGAATGTCCATGGTCTCGCCTAATGTTCTAGTGTGCCAAGCCCTGAAGGAAAAAATCAAGTCGACAATAGAAAGGAGCAGTCAGCGAGTCGCTGAATGGTTCCGCGATGCAGTGCTATATCGCCCAAAGTTACAGAACTTGAAGTTGCTGAAGGCTAAAGCAAAAAGGCGATGGAACTGACCAAAGGGCGGATCACCGAGTGGATCGGCGATCCTGACTTATTGCACCAAATGGTCCTTCGCAGCACATTTTTGGCGACTATAAATACATGTTTGAATTTTAGTTTAGTATCAGATTTTTATCTAGTTTTTCATTATTGTTCAGTTTTCAAGTTAGAGAGCTTAGAACTAAGTTTTGAGACAATATTCCTTAGCTTTGAAGATTTGAAGACTTCCATTTCTGAGAAATTGGAAGTGGGTGTTGAAGATTCTTCATCTTAGACCTTTGTAAAGACAAAATTAATCTTACCCAGTTGATGGAAACACAATTTGGTAACGATTTCTATCTTTTTATGATGTCTAGCTAAAACCCCAATTCTTGGGGTGTGATTCTGTGATTATGGGTTGACTTAGTTGCTGGGTATTATTAATTGATAGTGTAAATGATGTTTAAAAGTGATTTCATTCAGTATTTGTGGCTTAATCTAAAGGGTTGTAGTTGCAAATGCAACTCTACCGTTGTATTTTTGGCTTGCTCGAGAGAGAGGTTTTAAAACCAAGATTACTAATTTGATGGTCTGTAGGTATTGGGTTGTCATAGGTTCAGCTCGAGAGAGTGAATCCTAAACCCGTTTCCACACACTCAGCTCGAGAGAGTGAATGTATTAAAGAGTAGGTTGTTCTTAATTGTTGTTTATTGGTGTTCGAGAGAAACCAATTTGATTCGGGGTAAATTGTTCGAGAGAAAGTTTATCCCCACTAAAGTCTAGCTTATTCACTGATTTATAGCTATTCACTATTAATTGCAATTACCCATTTGTCTACCTTAGCCCATAATCAAACACATCCCAAGAACCCGTCTCCATACTTGTTATTTTTGTGTTATTTGCTGTTGTAGCTGATAGTTGAACCCAAATCCCCCTGTTATTTGACACTTGTGTCACCCCAAACTTGAACCATGCTTTTATTCGTAAATGTTTTTACCTATGATTGACTTGAGCATATTCATGCTTTTCTATTGATTCTCAAATACGTACCACTCCCTTGGGACTCGACCCCAACTCACTTGGTTAGGTTATATTACTAATTAACGATCGTTGATGCTTAGTATTGGATGAAGTGTCTTTGAAACACTATTAATCATAAACTCACCAGCATTATCAAGACGAATTGTTTTTATTGCATAATTTGGAAATTGTACTTTTAACCTTATTATTTGAGCCAACAACCTCGCAAAAGCTATATTGTGAGTTGATAATAAGCACACATGTGACCATCTTGTAGATGCATCTATCAAGATCATATAATATTTAAATGGTCCACATGCAGGGTGAATAGGTCCACATATATCACCTTGTATTCATTCCAGAAATGCAGGGGATTCAACCCCAACCTTAGTCACAGATGGTTTGATAACCAACTTTTCTTGAGAACAAGCAGCACAAGAGAATTTCTTTGATTGAAGAACATTTTGGTTCTTTAAAGTATGCCCATGTGAATTGTCAATTATTTTGTGCATCATATTATAACTGGAATGGCCCAACCGGATCATGCCAAATGATAAAATCATTAGAACCAGTAAACATTTTGTTTACTATAGCATGTGATTCAATCGTACCAATATTTGTATGGTACAGTCCAGAAGAAAGTGCTGACAATTTTTCATGCACAATTTTCTTCTCTGCATTTATCGTAGTAATATAAAGGTATTCCACCTTTCCTTCATTTGCAATCTCAAGATGATAGCCATTTTGGCGAATAACCTTGAAACTTAACAAGTTTCTTTGAGACTTACTACAATACAATGCATTATTAATTTCCAATAATGTTCCTCCAGGTAGTAATAAGGTCGCTCTTCCATAGCCCTCAATCAATTTTGTACTACTGGATATTGTATTAACATGTGCCTTTTTCATAATCAAATGAGAGAAATATTTATTTTCTCTTAGTATCGTATAAATTGTGGCACTGTCCAGAAGGCACATATCTCCAACGATACGAAAAACAAGAACATAAGAGAGATTCATATGATAGTTAATGACAATCCATAAAAACTCAATAAGTTACAATCATTATGTAGCCACAGCCCTACAACTAGGGAAATTAACTACTCATAATAGTAATTTCGATCAAACAAAGTTTAATTATCATAAATAGATCGAAAGAAGAAGAGTTTAGGAAAGAACCCTAAGAACTGATGAAATAGTTCTCCCAATCGTCGTTCTTTAAAACCCAGCAAAAGAATATTTAATAAAATAAAATATTAATCTATTTATAGTTAGTCGAAACTGCCAAAACTGGCACACTGGGCGCGACGAAAAGGTGTTTGTTCAACTCCAGTTCGAGTTCTTCTCTTCTACGCGACGAGGGGCTGTCACAGACCATTATGTCCTATTTTTAATTTGCGATCAAGAATAGAATTCCTCTCCATGACGTGGAGAGGATATGGATCCGACTTGCACTTCATTTCTTCATTCTTCTTTCTTGCTTCTTTTTAACTTGGATCCTTTCGTGATTCCCAATGCCCATTTTAGTGCTTGTTTCTTCCTTCAAGCTCACATACACAACTAATCATGTTGGTTAGTATATATACAATCAAAAGACTCAACACGACTATAAATCAACATAAAATGATTCCAAACTTGGTCTAAATACGGGTATTATTTGGTTCCTATGCATATAAATACGCCTAAGATCAGTGCCCGACAATCATTTTTCCAGTGACCTTTAAGGCCACAACGATGACAGTGATCGCTCTTTCTTTAAAGGATTATTTTGAGGACCCATATTGTTCTCTCTTTTGTTATGACTACCACCTCGACGATTATTATATCGTCTTTTGCCCTTTCCACGCCCACACACATTATCATGACCCCGATTATTTTGTCTTATTTCAGACTGGTCGTGTGCTTCTGCCCCGTGTGCTTCCGGTAATGGAGCACTTTCAGTGGGTCGGGCTTCATGATTTCTCATTAAAAGGGCATTATGTTGCTCAGCCATCAGAAGGCATGAGATCAATTCAGAGTATTTTTGAAAACCTTTTTCACGGTATTGCTGTTGTAGTATCACATTAGAGGCATGGAAAGTAGTTAGTGTATTTTCCAACATGTCCTCGTCATTTATAGTTTCCCCACATAATGTCAAATGGGAAGTGATTCTAAATACAACAGAGTTATACTCAATTACGGTTTTATAATCTTGAAACCGTAAGTGCATCCACTCATAACGAGCCCTTGGAAATACCGTTTGCCTTGAGGTGGTCATACCTCCCTTTCAAACATATCCACAATTCAAGTGGATCTTTTACTGTCAAGTATTCAACCTTCAGGCTTTCATCAAGATGATAATGAAGGAAAATCATAGCTTTCGCTTTATCCTGACTTGATGCTTTATTTCCTTTGATTATACTATCACCAAGACCCTTAGCGGTAAGGTGAATTTTAGCATCAAGTACCCATGACAAATAGTTCTTTCCAGAAATGTCAAGTGCCACAAATTCACGCTTTGACAAATTCGACATGATGAAAACTATCATAAAATAGTTGAGTTAATAACATGATGTTGATTTCTTTATAATAAAAGAAAAATTAATGTTTCAAATGATTAGGAATTAGTATAAAATATATTATATGCATGAACATGGAATGTTACAAAAGCATGTAAACCCATAAAGTATGAAACGGTAAATTTAATATATATTCTAATTATTTTAAAATATTTATTACTAGTTTCAATAGTTATTAATGTCAAAGTTTTGTAAGATTTTCAAGTCATATTTAATATAATACTATTATTCTTTATGACACACAAATACTTATCATAAATGAGAGAATATACTTACGAGTATTTTAACTAGCATGCTATTATATTACTTAGTAATTAATTTACAGTTATAAGTTAGCAGCATATAAATAACATAATAATATAAATCTGAAACGTATTGATTATTATGTTTAGTAAAGTACCATAATAATAGTTAAAGCATGTTATGTATGCAATAATTAAATTGTAAATCAAAGACTTATGTAAGTCCTATTCTAGATGTTATAAACATATAAATGTATACCTGACTCGGAAAGAAAATTGATTAACTTTTAGGAAAAAGAGATAATTCCGAATTAAGTAGGTCTTAATTGGTTAGAGACTCGTGTTGATAACATGTTGTAAAACAAGAGAAAAATACAAGAATACACAAACAATAAAGGGAGACAAATGGTGATGGAAAGTATAAAGTAGAGAATATTATTTAATCTCTTCAAGTGTTCTCTTTCACAAGGGTGAAACATACCCTTTTATAGGATGTAGAAATCACCCGTTTACAATGTTAAACAAAATACGTTAGAATCTCTTTAAGTGATACATTAAATGAGACATTACGTTAGGTGTAGATTGAAAATAAACATCCACACAAGTAAATGGATTTGTAACATTTTATTATTATATTAACATGATAAGAATTGCAATTTATAGTGTTTGTTCAAAAATATAACCTTCTCACTAAGTTGCAATTCAACCAAAAAAAATTATTAGTTGCAATTCTTATCATGTTAATATAATAAAAGAATATTTTATAGCTTGAATTTCGAGAGCAAAAAATAATAAATTAATAGAGAGAGTTAAATGAAAAGAGATCAATTAATTATATTTTGATTTTGTTGATTTACATGTTATTTTAAATGACTATTTATTTTTATCCTTTAAATAATACAATTGATTTTGTATGAGGTTAAGAGCACAAATCTTAATCTAGCTATTTTAAATGCGTAATTATTTGACTTTAAATCTAAATTAATATTAATATATATATATATATATATATATATTTCTATTTGATTTTTAACAAAAGAATATTATGAATTCTCAAAATAATAAAGAAAATAAATTACCAATTTTAGGATTTACTATTGTTTATTGAAGAATTGGAGAAATAATGCGCAAAAGAGATAATGAAATACTAATTTTAGGATATTATTATTTTTATTGTGTAATGAAATATATTAATTTTTTAATAAATTACAAAGTACTCTACATAGAGGCAAAATAAAAGGTTGAGTGGAGGAGTGAGAAAAGAAACGAAAATGTTATAAAGTAATGAGACCTAAAAAAAATTATCTATTAAAATAATTCCTCACACAACTATGACATGGTGTGCCTCAACCACTATAAAAAATTTTATGTTTTAGGTAATCCTTGATTTCAAAAGCATGAAATTCCATATGAGCAAGAATGGTACAAGTACTTAGTGGACGAAAAGGGTAAACTTCTCTTTTCACCCATAATCCCTAACAATAAGACAAATGCAAATATGCTAAATTCCAATTTGAAATGCCACACTGTAACATCTCAAAATTAGTAAGTCGAAGTGGATTGAAAAAGTTGCATTTTGGCACTGATGCAAGTTCTACGAAAGTGACAACGCAAAATTAACAGGAACATGCACACAGGGTGATGTCTACTCCAACTTGATGATACGTCGAGTTAGTTTTGACGATTTAAGACATGACCATTGAATGGGACAGTACCCAAGTCACACATTCAAGCACCAAAGGTGACTTGGGGCTTACTTGGTAAATTGCCTAATCGCCTTAGTGAGCTAAGACATCCCCGCCAAATGGGTAATCTTCATCCCAATGCCTATTTTCACAATTTCAATATCAATATCACAACAATATCCATCACTCAATTAGTTTTATAATCTACCCACATGTTTTACGAGTCATGGGTACTCAGACTTTCTGCAGATTTCACAAAGTACCGCCCAAATTGACGATTTGCCTTTAAGAAAGTTGTCACTCTATCAATCATTGGACAAATATAAGTCTTTAGGGCAATACTAGGGTAATAGACTTCACCCATAATCAATTCAAGCAAGACCCGGTACATTCAAAGACTCAATTTCAGATTCTAACCTTCAAAATCAATTTCAACAATTTTAGAAAGACCCAATTAAAACAGCCCAATAGCAATATATTATGATACCAACAACACATGCATCAGGACTAAGCAAAAATATTGATGAAATCTTCGAAAACCAATCTCAGAGAAGACCAAAAAGCACAATATTGAAGGAAAAAGGTCCAGGGTTGAGAAGTAAACATCACAATGCACTCTGAACAACAAAATCCATGCAAAAGAGGTCACACAAGTACCAAAACAAAGGTATGGAAAGTTTAGGAAGAAAAGGAGCACAAAAGGATGAAAGGTTTTCTTTTAAAACTTGAAAAGACTCTTGAACCATTTAACTCAAGTGCACTCGAAGGACTGTGACTAATGTCATCGAACAGATTCAACGAATCGTTGAAGGAGCTTAAGCTTGCCGATGAGGTATGAACGAGTACCAAACTTGAAGATCAATTCATCGGACTCGATGCAGTCCGCTTAGTGCACTTCGGCGAATCACCGACTGGATCTCTGTTCGCAAAAGTTGATAGTACTATTTTTTTCATTTTTTCAGCATAGAAGGCGAACATGAAAATGTCTGCACAATGATTTTGGCGAGTTGTCGACATAGTTCGTGACATCACCAAATTTACATTTTTTAACATTTTGACTTCTTTTCAACCTACACTCACAAACACACGTTATTGAAGGTAATAAAATAAACTTGAATTGCCTCCCAAGAAGCGCCTTATTTAACATCATGGCACGACACAATTCTTACTCATCAACAATCATTTTTTAGATTTATGATGGTGTCACTAGGCAATGTTTCCTTTTGCCTTGGATTTAGGTAGGTGGAGATCTGATACATTTGAGTTTCTAGTTGCTTGATTGATACAGAATGGGAAGTAACCGTTTGAGTCAAGGTGGAGAAGTCATTTTTCAAATCCTTCAATACCTTGTCAGACTCTTCAACCTTGTTGAAGATCCTTATTAGCATTTCATCAATTTGGTTTCCCTCCAGTCCAGCTAGTTCTTTTAGTCTTGGGCAATCATGAAACGAGATATTATTCCAACTTTGGTTCCCACCCGATGTTGGTAGTTAGGATGAGAAACCACACCCCCCAATTGATATCCCGTGTATTTTACATGTCTGTTGTATAATACCTCAAATTGGTATTTTGCGGGCACCATCCACTCCTTATTCCAATTGCATTTACCGTTTTTTATCCACATCCCATGATGTGTTTGGGCAACAAGTCAAGGTGGGTCATCATTTTTGTAACGACTCGGAAAATGATAGGTTAAGCAAGAGCCTATGACTTTGTGTTGACTTTATAATGAGGTTCTATGAGGGGTTTTTATGTAATTTCATTTTAATTGTGTTACATCCAACAATTTAAAATGAATATGAAGTAGCTTGAAATTGGAAGTAACTTTTGGAAAAAGTTCAGAACCTGGAAATTTGGTTAAGTGTGGGAAATCAGTGAGTTTTTGGCCAACTTTGAGCAGTCATAACTCCTAGCTCAAGATGATCCAGGAGTAGTTCCAGTTATGTTTGGAAAGCCCTTGGAACAATATTTCCAACGCCACCGAGTTTGCTCGATTCTGAGTTCGTATGAGCGAGTTATGCCCTTTGAAAGTTGGGCAGTGAGCAAGGAGTCCGTCCGGAAATTTAAGGGCATTTTGGTCTTTTCACAAATCTTTTCTTTTGAGGTTATATTATTGTGTTAGGCTGATTGTGGATCATTTTTGTTCCATTTTAAAAGAGTAAATGTTAGGGTCCTTGAGTGAAGAAGAGAAGAAGAGGGGAAGAAGAAGAAGAAGAAGTTGGAGCTAGGATTGAAGATTTTGAGTTCCTTCTTCTTCAATTCTTGTGGGTTTTCAACTTAGAGGTATGGGGATTCTTTATCCTTGATTATTCTTCCTTTCAAGGAGCTCAATTCAAATGATTCAAAGTTCTTCCAAAAACACAAAAATCCTAATTTCGATTCTAAGCATGGGTTCTTGCATTAAATGATTTTTTTTTTGATGATTTACGTTATTAATTGTGTCTATTGATGGTTTTAAGAAAGAAATTTCCATGAACCCATGTCTTGGCAAGTTTCCTAAAGTTGGCTTATGAAGTGGGTTTATTATTTATGATTGAATGATGATGGAAGTATGCTTGGATTGAGTTGAATAGTTGACTTCTATTATTATCTATGCTTATCTATTGTGAATTGTTGGAGAGTTGAGGAATGGTGATTGTGGCTTGGGAAAAAGGGTAAGTGGACCTAACTTCATTGTTAAGGTAGAATTGATATAGAATTGTGATAGATTGATGTGTGATCCACTTATGGTGGAGGTGTTTACTTATTGAATGTATTGTGTTTATGGCCTTGGAGGCATTATATGAGGAATTGAAGTGTTGACATGATATCATATATGTGAATGGGATGTGAAGGACTTGAATGAGAATCAAATGAAGTAAAGGCAATCATGTTGTGAATATAAAGGTGTTCATGTGATCTCAAGGTGATCTTGTTTAAAGTGTTATTGTATTGTGATTGAAAGTGTGACCTCTATTATTGTTCATATGTGATGATGATGGAATGTGAAGGAACTTTATAATGTGATGTGTGTCTTGACTTGGTAGAC